GGGAGTCATTCGAACTACTTGCTTCTTGACAATTTAATATGTCAGACTCCATCCAGAGTCCATATATATATTTCTGTATCTGTGTGTGTTTGTAAGCCTGTATGTATGCATCTATATGCATGTGTGCCTATGTATGTATATGTGTATCAGGGAGTAATTATGGAGAATAAAGGCCTACTTGTACGGAGTGAAACTGTGGGTTTTGAAGTGAGATGGGAGATGATTTTCTGTTTGGCTGAGCAGGCTCAATGGTCCTATTCAACTAGCCCCCTTACTGCCCATTGTCCTACCACCACCAGCCCTTCACACACACACACACACACACACACACACACACACACACACACACACACACACACACAGGGCTGTAGTGGAATTGGAGAGGAGCCCGGGGGAGAAAGAGCGGTGAAGAGTTGGGGGATGAGGGAGGTCCAGCTGAAGTAGTGAGTGAAGTGAGTAAGAAGAGGTGCAAAGGAAGATTTCTGAATGAGGTACAGAAGTAGAAATAGTCTCATGATGCTTAAATTGTATCTCTGTAACACTCGCAAACTGTTATATATCAGTTGCTCTTGGATTTTATCCTTGTTTACACAATTTACCCTAGTCAGCTGTCCTGACGCATGGCTGCGAGCTGTCATCATTTGTTGTCACATTGGTATGTGGTCAGTTCTATCAATGTGTATATTTTAAAGACACAATTTGGAGCATGTTAATATCCACTTTTCTGAGGTTAAGATTACATACACAATGACCACGTCATAGTCTAAGTTAGACCTCTTATCCAGTGGTTAACCAGTACTACATGACCCCTCCCAAAAAAGGCCCTCAGACAATACAAACACACGGTGGTCAGACAATAGTCTGGCAAGGAGAGAGAGGAACTCACACCCGTCAGGGGTTAATAATCGTCTGTCACTGGTTTGGAGCCTATTAGGACATTGATCTGACTGTGTCTTTTATGCCACCTGGGGAAAAGGAATGTGTCGGGTCTCCTATTGTGTCTGACTGTGTCTGGGAGAGCATCGAGTGGTCATACCCTCTGTGTGTGTGCATGAGAGTCAAAGAGAGGTCAGTCAAAGTGGAATGGGTCGGAGCGTCACACTGTGCAGCGACAGTGGAGGGTTGGATATTCTTGAGGTCAGCTGGTCAAAGGTCATTCAGCCCTTATGTTGATTTCAAAGCAGAAATCACTGCATGTGGAAAATTGCATTTAAACATGTATGAATACAATGCTATCATAGCCAGGATCGACACTGCAACTGACCAAGCAGGTTCTCTCATTTAGTTAGCAATAGCCAGGAAGTTAGCTAATGCTATTAAAAACTATTTTAAACCACCATTAGCAACCTGCATTTGGCTAACAGCGAACCTAATTGGATAATATATTTCTTATATTGCAAAAATTAATAATGACTTACACTGACCAGCACATAAACACATGCATAAGCCCATTCAGTATAACGCTCAATCTAGCATCGAAGACATACAGCTTGAGCAGTTAAGTGATAATGAAGACATGAGCACCTTTTGCAACAGCTTAACTTTTACACAAACAAATAACATCCACAAACTGAGTTTCAGTCATAGCTTCTCCTGCTTGTTAGATAAATTCATCTCCTCCTCTTTTTGAAACATTATTTCATAATAAAATGTCTCAGTCAAACTCATTCCTTAATTCAGTTAAGCAACATTTTGTTTACTTATTATAAGCAACTGTCTGAGTAACCTGTAAACTTAGGAACAGTCACAATTTATTAGGAGTAGAGCCTTTAACACATAGTCTTTGTGGAGGATTGTGAAAACCAGGTGAGGAAGGAGAAACAAGGAAGGAGAAAAGTGTTAGTTGGAGGCAGTATAAAAATGCATGTTAAAGTAAGCTGTGATAAATGCAAAATCCAAAATATTAAAGCATATAAATTAAAGCAAAGTTCTTACATGTTCAGTCAGCATTAAAACTTTCACCAGACAGGCATATAGGCATGTGGTAATTATGTTGAAGATAGTTTTCTGTGTTTCTATGAGGCATTTGTCATACTGCTAAATAACATCTGGGAGATTGCACTGTGTTTTGGTTATGTTATATGAAATAAAAGAGATAAATAAATGAGATATGCCGGGCAATGTTTATAACTCTGTGAGTTAATATAGGTTTGGGGGACTGTAGGAAGACAAGCAAACCCTTTCCCCCCCAGTTCTGTCTTTTTGGACAACCATCTGTTAGACCTCAGACTTAGTGAAAACACTCAGATGACACAGCTGGGGTTTAGAGGAGGGGAAGAGGAGGGCATTTAAATGTTTGTGGCTGCCTGTTGGTTGGCCATGTAGTCAGAGTTGAACTTGAAGATGGAAAAAAAGGTGGTGAGGTTTTGGTTATAGGATAAGGGGAAGGCAAATATTGGTTATAGTTTGGATAAGATGTCCTCTGAAATGAAAATTAGGCAGTTTTGCATCCTCTGAAGTGAGAGAACGGCCGCTACGTGTGTGTATGTGTGGAGGGGGTCATGTTGGTAGGACAATGAGACAGTGGGAGCTGCAGCAGTTTGCTGAAAGATGACTCATCCTTTGCCGTCTTCCAAAATCACATTTCCTCCCACATCTGTCCTTCTTTTTGTCTCCTCATCCAAGTGCTTTCTCTTTTGGGCATCTTCTAACCTCCTTCTCTTCTTCTGCCGTCCCTCTTTGCAAAAAATAATTGTGTGTTTCTCTTAGCAAACATGAGCTCATTTTAAGGTTTTAGCATAGGTTTTATTATTTTGGGGGTAAAAAATTTTAAATCTAGAATTCATGAGGACAGTTGGGTAGTACTGTGGGGCTCACTGTAACATAATCAGTGAGATTGAATCAAATTTTTGGTAATTAAAAATGACATTAGGCAAGAAAATCCCCCCAGCAGACTAGTAACTAGAAACTCAGAAAGGCTTTCAGTTAATATGAGGAACCAGCTGAATTGTAGTGGAAATTTCCTACCAAATTAGGGGTTAGCTCAGACAGTCTAACAGAAAGATTCCTGCATAATGAATTGAAGTTACTCCTATCTCTTCATGGGAACCTTTGTCTCTCCCATACTTCTGGAAGATAAACTGAAGCACAAAAATGTGTGATAAGCACTCTGAAATTATATTTGTTAATGCTCAAAAACAAAGTATTTGCCTCTTGGCAGGCTTATTTATGTTTGTGCTTATTTGGTAACTCTGGTCCAGGGAACACCAGGTGATCTGGCTTGGTACGGAAGGTCAGTTCTGTGATGTCACTTCCCCTTCCTCTCCGGATATTCCCAGCATTCTACTGCCAGCAGCCAGGAACTCTGGGAACTGAGAGCAGGAAGCCTGGCTCCTTTGGAAGAGTGAAAATTAAAAGAGGGCAAATAGCCTAGGATTAGTTGAGATATTACGAGATATTTCTGCAGCAGTGAATGACTCATCATTTTCTGCGAAATGTATTCAAATCTGTGTGAATCTAATTGAGATTGTGTGTGATACCCTGTGAAACACCAACAGAGAAATATTGCCCCCTCCTGGCTTTTCTTCATGTCTTTTTTCTCTGGATTATTTTGTCCTCCTTTTGAATGAGAGAGCACACCAAACCTTCTCACCTTTAACTCCATCTAGTACATTAATCAAAGCCCACTATAGGCTATCTCAAAATACAGTGTAATAACAATGAAAGCATTAGAGGTTAAAATACGCTATAATACAGCTTAAGAATAAGAATAACTTTGCTGATCCCAAAGGGAAATTCATATGTTTGACATAGCTCGTCTGCTATTAACATGAGAGTTTAAAAAGCCTGCTGGCTGTGGGTACGAATGATCTCTCTGTTTTACAATGGTGAGAGAGGAGTCTTCCATTTTGATGTTTTTTGTTCCATCAAGATGCTGTAAAGTGTGTTATCAGAGTTATTAAAGATGGCATACACCCTGATAATGCTGCGTAATTACAATGCAAGAAGTATATTGGGATACTCTGTAATACAGTTTGCACCCCTGATAATAAAGAAGTGGAGGTTAGGATTCTCTATAACAGAGCCTGCACATGGATAATAATGTGTAATTACAATTGAATAAAAATTTCATGGTGATAAAAATTAGACCGAAATAATTACATGATAAATGCCAGGAAATAGCCACTTAGGTCTGGGTTTATATCATGAAGTGCTAATACACTATTCTTATCAAGGTCTAAGAAGAGATCCTTTTATTACTGTAAGTATGCAAAACATCTATGTGACATGAAAATATCACATTCATATAAACTAGCACAGCCATGGCTATAATTATTAGCACATTACGGGATTAACAATGTAGGATCATGCAATAAATAACAGAAGAATTTATTGATGATTGTTGTATGGTGATCCTAATAGCATTTTCACCCTTACATGTCTCAAACAGTTTGTTTACTTATAATATTAGGAAACCTTTCTTATTTAGATTTGTTGATAGAGTCCCCGAGCACCGGAAAGTATACCATAAACATGCATACTGTGTCATTTTTGATACTGTCACCAAGGAGAAGTATATTCTTTCAGCTGTAATCATTAGTGTATGCAATTCACGTGTGTATGGTTGCATGTTGGTACTTTTTCTATGATGTTCACTGCAAAACACATTAAAGACTGTACACAGTATTTGTTCTGTGAACCAGAAAGACTGCAACATCCGGAAGGAGGGAGGGGAACATGAGCGTTTGGCTCTAAACCTTAAATGATGGGGACCTCTGCTGGTAACATTTCACATGATATTCTTTTGAGTAGGAAATACCACAAAGGCGTTATATTTTAGCACACAAAATTGTTTATAATGGTATTCATCCACCTGGTCTGTTCATTTTCACACATTGAGTTAGGGAAGCTGATTCAGTCTAAACTCTTAAGTGCTATAAAATTTTTGATCCAAGCAAAAATTCAAAACCACACAGAAAACACAGGTGTTGCTCATAATGTGATGTTATAACTGGTATTGCAAGAAGTAACAGTAACAAGCAAGAAGCAACTGAAAAACATAGTATTGATTTTTTTTTTATTGGTGACAACACTGCTGAGACAAAGCCATATTTTGTTACTGTGGTGGTTTGTGTCGTATCCCTTTATGTTGACTGAGCAGCAGTGGTTCCTCATCTCAGTCAGTTTGCCTTGAGGAGCCCTTCATCTGTTAAAAAAAAGCAGAAATACATTGTTTGGACCAGCATGTATGGGGAACTTGATGCATTTGCAGGAATTGATTCAAACTGAGCTGTAACCTTTACTTGTATTTATCATGCATCAACAGTTTTTCCAGTGAGCAGAAGTGTTTCCTTTATAGGTTTGCAAACTGGGATCATGGCTCTGTTGCATGACCCAATTTGGGCTATTAGTTGTTGAACAAATGACCTAAGAGCATATTTTTCTGGAAACCTTTGTGAAATCTCAATTTTTCTTTGGAAGCAGTAAGGGTGTAATTAGTTTTTTCACAGGTCTGCACAGAGTCCTGTGAAAAACCTTACTCACTCGATTGTAATTTGTCCCTCCATAAAAATATCTTTAAATATATAAATTAAAACTCTTCACACTTCTTGCTAATGATGTCATGTAAGTAACATTAGTCAATCAGTCAATCGTCACACAATGGCACTGGTTGAGTTGAAGCTCAATATCAACAAACAATCAGAGAGCGATAGAGAAGGGCTGTTTATAAGAGGAGGAGGAGTAAGCTCATGCCTAACAACAGTAATTCCAAATGACATTTGAGCAGCTGTGACAGACTGTGTTCTTGCTCATGGAATGGCAACCAGATTGAAAAATGCCCCTTTCTGCAATAAATGTTTATGTTTTCCAGCACAAACACCCATTAAAGTGGCCCCTTTCACATTTTTTCTCATACAACATAATGTTCCCATTTAATCATTATAATTACACTGCATGAGAAACATGTGAAAGAAGCCACTTCCATGAGTAAATCCTAAGATGCAAGACGACCAGAGCTACGTGTTGTTAACATTGTTGTTTTTCTTTTTCTTTTTCTTTTCTTTTCTTTTCTTTTCTTTTCTTTTCTTTTCTCTTTTTCTTTTTCTTTTTTTTTTTTGATGTAGTAGCTTAATGAACTCTCAGTAACATTTTCTTTTTTTCGACTGGCTGTGTGTGTGTGTGTGTACGATCACTGGTTAAAACTGTTTTGATGTGATGATGTGGTTTAGCCATAAGGGTTAGAGGGTTTTTTTTTTAAATAATATGTTGTTTGAAAATTGGGTTTTGTGTTTACATATGAAGAAAAAACAAGGCTGGGAGATTTTTTTTAAATGCCTTAGCCATGGACTTGGAATCTGTGGGATTTCTATGAGATAAATGTGTCTTTGTTTTTATTTGCATCCTGCCACAGTTCTGCTCTGTTATACTTGTTTTATTTTCGCACCATCTTTCATCACCCCGCAGTACTCCTCACACTCTGCCTTGCTGTAGAACTTGTTGCCGTTGGCCTGGCAGAAGCCGCTTTTGTAGGCCACACACAGACCAGCGGTGGAGTCAAAAGCCCAGATGGGAGGCTTCCCTGTGCAGGGCTGAGCATCCATAGGCAGACGGCACACAGCTGAAATGACAAAAGAGATACACACAATATAATATAGGTAATATTCATTCGTGGTGTGCCACAAGAGTCTCAAGTAGAACATGAATTGCACTTTGTAAAACAGTTGCAGTCCCTTTCTCTGTGGCTGTTATAAGAAGCCTCATTGAAAACAAACACAGTAGCTTCTCATAGAAAATAAGTGTTCTTCTGTTTACGTGTGATTTGGAAACCCCAGCTGAATCCATAATGTTGGACCAAACCCCCCAAAACCTAAATTTGCACGTGTGTTGCACAGACATCTATGCACATTAGCAAATGTGTTTGTTTTTTCTTACCTTCGGTGCGGCAACTCTGCAAACAGTCCCTTTCACTTTCAAAGTTGTTCTGATTGCCCAAACATCCTCCATACTTGAAGAGCTCGCAGTTCATTGAAGAGGAGTTGTAGTAGTAACGCAGGTGGATCCCGAAACACGGTCCTGTGTCTGGTGCTGCTTTACAGGCCTCTGTGGGAACAGCGAGGGAATGCATATATGCATAAGAAAATATACAACATCAGAATCAGAACTTGATCATTAGCATACGCTGATATCCTACCAGTCCCATTGAACATAGCTGTATCATCACCAGAGCCCTCCACATCTGGAGCCAAAGAAGGCACTGCATTTCTCCTCACACGCTGTTTAACACAGACACACAGACTCAGAGATACAAAAATGACTCAACCACAAATAATCTGCATTATACTGATAAAATGATCTCCTATAATGTAACCTCTCACATGGATTATATGATGGCCTTGTAATTCATTTATGATGAATTCTACCATAAAACTCAAACTCCTGAGTACAAAGGACAACAGCTACTCTTTCATGCATTTTAAAGGAAATACAATTAAAGCATATGCATAAAATATGCATATATATTAAATACAGATTGTAATACCTGAGGCTTAGGCTGAGCTGTGGCTGTTGCCACCTCCTCTCCAGGAACACAGTCACCTGCAGATCAAGTGAAGTAATGTAATTTGTTCATATACTTCATCTATAGCCTAAAATGTCGTGTTAAGATGTTATGAATAACAGTTCCATTCTTCAAGTTTATGTGTTTATGTTTTTTATTTTATGTGTGTGTGTGTGTGTGTGTGTGTGTGAGCCTGGATTTTCATGTCTTTTGTAAAGAGGTAGAACATACACAAGGAAAGAACCCATGAAGATAGAGTGTAGATCTGGGCTGATTCCTTTAAAATGTAAGAACTAGAGTACTGATCTCGGAGGAGGACTGTACACTTATCACTCCATTTTAGAAGAGTGTTAGCGTGTGTGATAATCTGTGTATGTGTGTGTCTGTATGTGTGGGCTGTACCTTTGTTCTGTTTAATGATAATATTGGCATCACTCATTCCCTGGTCTTTAACCAGTCTTTTAAAGTCATCCAGGACAGTGTTTCTCACAGTCATAGTTCGACCTGAAGAACACAATCATTTGAAAAATAAAAACCTTAAGGTGGCATGAAGACTTCAGGATAGGGGGGTGTTCTTTACTTCACCTGATAATCACTATAACAACAATCAAGTGTATAGTTAAGGACTGTCAAATGAATCCATTTTGGTTTACATTTTTAGGAAGTGTTTACTCACTGTAAAGCTTAACTGAGGTGGTCTTATTGCCTGATAACTTCTGCTTGCTCATTATTACTATGGCGTACTCATTGTAGTTTGTGTGAACCACGTATGCATCCACGTCTGCCCCCCACTCTGTGAGAGGGAGAGTACAGGGAGAGTCATAATATCGAAAAATCCGCTGTACAAAAGCTCACGAACAGCATT